ATCCAGAATTGTCCTTAAAACACTTGTAGTGCGCCTTAACAGTTGATCGCGATCATCTTCCTTCGTTTTGTCCATTACGAAAAACAAACCGGAGATCGCTGCACGTGCTGTAAACTCGAAGCTTACTTTATGTATATTAGCATTAATGTGTGCCACATTGATATGAAATCGAGGCTTATATTATATTGAGTAACCGCTGACCGAGTACGCCCGATCCAATTGAATGTTGGTCCCTCGGGGGTCCGGTTCAACTCTACGAGCTAATGCCACCAAGGTTACGATCGAATGCCATGGAGGTTACGATCCAATGCCATGGAGGTTACGATCCAATGCCATGGAGGTTACGATCCAATGCCATGGAGGTTACGATCCAATGCCATGGAGGTTACGATCCAATGGCATGGAGTTCGATCCAATGCCATGAAGGATACGATCCAATGCCATAACATACGAACGAATAATGTGTGTTACGATCGAATGGAATGGAGGTTACGAATGAATAATATGGGGTCCGATCTAATGTCATACAGGGTCCGATCTAATTCCATTTTAGTCCAGAATGCCCCTCCATAGGAGAACGTCAACACGCGAAGGTTAATTTTCCTTTTTCTGTCCTGGACTTGAATTCACGAATTCAGCTCCTGGAAAGTGCGGCCACATTGGACAAATTGAACGTGTTGGAATAGTCTCGAAATAGTTTATAGGAACGTTAATTAATTTTTTAAGGAATTTTGCGCGCTAAAGAAGCCTTAAGAAAACACCGCTGACCAAAACGAAATTGATCGCTTTGCAAGTTGTGAAAGCATGGTTCTCGGTCCCAGGCCCTGTCTTTACCCCCCCCCCCCCCCCCTCCTGGTTTGAACAATGTTAAAAACAAGTTGATTAGATAATTTTTTTTGGCCCAAATTACCATATCAGTGTAGAAGTGTGTAGATTTTGTGCAATAAACAAAAAAGTGATCGTTGACCTCATTGTTTATAAACTTGATCAATCACCAAAACAAAACAAAAACAGTTCTGTAGTAAAGAAAGATGGCAAATTTTTAAGCTCGGGAAATGAAATGAGAAAGATGTTATTAATGGCTGCTGCGCGCGCAGCAGCCAGTTATTGCCATCGTCGAAGCATTCTTTACATTCCTGTGTAAGACTTTTTGTGTAACAATTGAATTCCTGCGAAGACAAATGGTATTGTTCGATTGAAAGGTTGGTATGACAACTGTCAGACTTTCGCTTCATTGACGGTGGTGTCACGAGAGAAATTGCGTTGCGAAATAAATATTAAAGACAAGTTTACATGGGAGGTGTAGACAACTACGAGCAGGATCGCGTTTGAGCCACAGTCTTGAAGCTTTTGTCGCGAAGGCGCTGGTCATTTTTCACGCTTGAGGGGAAAAGCCGCGATAATCTAAGGTGGCGAGCTTGTTTACTGGAGCAATTGCTGAATGACCTGTAATTGCCTTTTGAAAATCATTCACTGTTGTTAAAAGGCGGATGAAACAGTATCATCACATGTACAATTAGTTTTTCAAAACGTACGAGCAATTGATAAAAAGATAAATGAAATTTTACAGCTACGTAAAAGGTTGTCGTGTGACCTGATATTCGTTAAGCTTGTCTTGGCATGGCTAGGCTACGACATGCGAGGGGTGAAGTCGCGACAAGAAGATGGCGAGCCACTAGTATTTTTGGAATCAGTGGTGCTGTGTCAGTTTTTGACTTTTTAAATATTTGAAAATCGTTAACGAAAGGTTGATGGTGCAAGTTATTAGTATGACGACTGATTTGAGAATTTTGCTATGTCAGCGCGAATGGTGCTGTATAAACAAAAATATTACATGTTTTTTGCTGATGGGCCACGAGACTTTCGCGTTGGACATCGTGACAAAAATTATAGGCTTTTAATTTCAAGACGAGGAATGATTATCTTCTAAAATTGTAAACGAACTTGTCTGCTTCAGTGGTTTGTGAGAAATTTCGAGAACCATTAAGAATGTAGACGAAAGATAAGATCTCCCATTAATGAGCACTATTTCCGTTGTTTTGTAAAGAAAACAGTGGGTGATTGTAATTGTATTCAAAGAAGGGTATGTTTCAAGTTTTGTTTATACTGGTGAAAATGACACGATAGTAAAGTGAACAGAGTTTGTTGTCCGCGAGAAGGTTCGCGAAGACGGCGAGCTATTGTAGTTTAAGAGAGCAGGGTATTGCTTAGTGCCCGATAATATTATTTTTATGTTGATGTGAATCGTCCTGTGTAGAATGTACTGTAATATAAGTATTTTTTATAGTACCCTGGGTGAGAGGTTTTTTTTTTTACTCTGCGCAAACTGTGAACGGCAAGCCGCGACGACAAAACCCGCGGAGTAAAAAGTAAACTATCTTCGTTCGTGGCCTCAGTCAGCGCTCCTCTTCAAGGGAAAAATCCCTCTGGCACCCGGGCCGTATTGTTGTAGTTTTGTATTCGAACAGTTTGATGTCTGTCCAGCACAATTTCCTGTTTACGAGATTGGACTAGAGGAAGGCTACATCAGAGTTTGCTATTGTAGATCTTGGAAGAACTTGGACTTAGGTTAAAAACAACAGACTCATTTGCTGTGTCGAGGAAAGATAACTCTGAACATACCACAACCCCCCCCCCCGGGGGGGGGGGGGGGTACGCCCTGAAATTTTTGGTAGGGGTGTGCGGCCTGCTTCTTGAAACCGTTAAACTATTTCAGACCAAAATATGTGATTTTTCATACCCTATTTCAGACCTATAAAATTAGTACACATGTCTAATACATGACTTCAGCTACCCAGGAATGGGTTCCATTTGCGCAAACATTTGTGGCATGAAAAGGGCTTCAAAATAATGGGAAAAATAGTTTCGTCTAAAAGCCAAACCAAATTCCAGTCCAAAGGGCACAAAACATACCCTATTTCAGACCAAAATGGTCAAAATCTATATCCTATTTCAGACAAAAACGGCTCAAAAATCGTACCCTTTGGGGCCGCACATACCTATATAGCTTATATAAGGGAGTACCCCCCCCCCCCCCCACTCCCGACCACAACTTACTGATTTCATTGATTTGTAGAATTCTGCTTTTCGTTAAAGAAAACAACATGTCACTTAATTATGAGATCAATTTCCACCCGCGATTGTCAAGTCTTTGTCATGTCAATGATAGATACCGATTTGGCCGTTCCATGGTCATGAAAGAGTGAGTTACATATACATATATAATACTTTATTTATGACTCGAACAAATGAGGCTTATTAGGCCACTAGCTAATCGCGTATGTTCAAAAAGCTAAAAACATGTACGGACATGTTGATATAAGATAAGAACAGCCTTAATTGCGGTTTCTTTCTAAAAGAAACAAAGATGTGCTTGTGTTCATATTGATAAGAAAAGAACTGAGATAAACGAAAATAGTTTTTAGAACTGTGACCTTATAGTTACGAAAGGTAACGTACAATTGTAGGTCAAATACAAGAGACGGAGTTTAGGGTGGCCGTGAAGTAGAACAGAACTTTAAAGCAAGAGATGTTTGGCGTTAGCCGGGGTTATCAAATACAATACACCAAAGAAAAAAAGAAAAAGCCAGCAAAGTTGCTACATCGCACAGGTAATCAATCTAGTCAATGCACGTGGCAAACATGTAGTGCCGGGTTAGCGTGACAAATTCAAATGCAAAGTGTGTGCTCGTTCCATGTTCATACATTATATTTACATGTCTCTAGCTTAAGCCAGCTACCACCTGTAGTTTGTTTGTAATTCACGAAATTCAAGTTGTTTATTTCGCGTTACAACTTGTTAATATACAAATAAACATTGCGTTTCAAGTCTACCTGCGTTTCCCATTTGAATTGCCATGAAATTTCATGACGTCACCGGCTGCCATAGAAGCACGCAAACCCGTTCCCAGGTTCTTACGTAAAACTTCCCGCTTGCCAGAGAGCCAGAGAGAGGAGGATCGGAAGAGAACGGGTTTGCCTTGGTTATTTGTCTTTTGGTTCCTATTAACGAATTATGTGTATGCATTTACAGTCCGTACTGCGCAATGTCGGCCCTACAATATTTTCAGTCTCAAACGAAGGAATGTAAATACTATCCAAAATAAAAACTCCTCATTATTAACGCCAGATAGAAGAACCTCGACGAAGTGTAACAAGTAAATCAACAAAATCAAAACAAAACTGAAAACAAACCCTGAGGCTGCCCAATACGGACTGTAAATCATCTTAATGCCGGAGAAAATGTATTTAACTTTCACCGGCACAGGCTTTTAGTTCTCGCAAATATTTGCTTTGAGCCACAAATAAAATTGTTTCAATAAAATAAACACATAATATAATTATACAGTGGATTGGGATATCATTTCTCTTATCACAAGAAACTAACTATTAAGTAAATTTATTTTTGATGAACGAAAACTACTTAACCCCAAGTGCAGGCTTTATAATTGATACCAGTCATCATGACAGAACAAGAATGCGTCATAAGATAATTAACACCTAACACAGCACACGTGAGATAATGAAATAAGTTTGTATGGATCTGGAGCGAGATGATTACAATCCAACAAGATCTAAAAGAAGTTTTTGACTCACCTAAAATCCAAAAAAGTGTTATTAATTTCCATGAAGTCTAAACCAGTGTGTCAAACGTTTTTGAAACAGCAAAGCATCGTAGTGGGCCTTGTAAATAAGTCCATCTTCCCTTCGAATTCGCTGGGTTTACTTGAAGCATATCGTAAATCTTCCATTGCGTTAGCGTGAACAACATAGACAAGTCGTTATTAAAACGTACATGTAAGATGCATGATATTTCCGAAAATCCACCTAATACTGAGTGACATCGCAGGGTCCCAATCCATTTCGTTAACTCAGCTTAATATTATTCGCTATGCGCATTCTCCGAGTAAAAACCGCAGTAGCCATTTGAGTACGCGTCGCGGACCTACTTTTTCAGTTTGTCACGAGCCTGGGACAAAAGGTACACACGCCCTTGATAATGTAGCTCAGTGGTTAGAGCATCCGACCGGTAGGGCATGGGTTCAACTCCCACGCTCATGAAAAACTGAAACAACATCTTTCTCATTTCATTTACCGAGTTTAAAATTTACCATCTTTCTTTATTACAACACATGACGCTTTCGACATTGCTGATCATAGCAGTATGCAGGACGCGTGTCACATATTATGAACCTAGTAAAGGGTTAGTAAATGACCTGTTCCAGACGCGGAGATGTCCAACAATTAAACATGCAGTAGGAGCTCTTCTTTCTGTTATAAGATTTTAATCCACACTAGTGCGTGTAGAGAAAATGTAGGCAGCGTACTTGTATAAAGGTGTGTGTATACTGTGAGGGGGGGGGGGGGGCGGGGGGGGGGGGGGGTCGTACATAATTTCTGACTGATTAGAGGGGGGGGGGGCAATAACTAAATTCACTCCTTTAGGAGGGGGGTATTACCTAATATTTGGCTACATGAAGCCCATTTTCCAACCCCCCCCCTCCTGATAATTATTGCACAGTCCCTTAGTTCTTATGTTGTTCATTGGTTGGTTTTGTC